GCTGCCCGACCACGACAGGAGGTCGTTGTGCGCCGCGATCTGAGAGGTCACCGCACCCAGTTGGGCGTGGCCGACTCGCACCAACTATGGCAAGTGGGCGGTGACCATGAAGGTTAAGCTCGAGCCCGATGGTTCTGGAATGCTGTTGATAAGGACACCGACAACGAAGATCGGAATGCTATTGACAAGGACACCGACAACGAAGAAGACGATATGTCGGCGTTGGAGGCTATCTTGGTCTATGCTATGCGGAGTCTGATGAGCCGTTGGGGCGAAAGAACTCGCTAAGGAGACGTGAGAGGCCATTACTGCGATGCGCGTCGGTTCCGACCGCGCAAAGAAAGCAACGGACCAGCTGCTGAAGCGGTACGCCAACCTCAAGTTCAAGGATGGTGACTCGGTGGAGGACTTCTCCCTCCGCTGCGCAGACGCTCATCGACAAGTCGAGGAGCCACGCAGCGTCACCATCGTCGAAGAAGAAGCGGTCTCAAGTATCTTCACTCGTCTGCCGATGAAGTACATCCATATCGCTCTCTCCATAGAGACGATCTTGGACTTATCCACCCTCACCATTAAGGATGTGACAGGACGTCTGCGGGCGGTGGACGAGCGCTTGGAGCAGGCAACAGCAACGACGGACAGCGACAAGCTGGTGTTGACAGGTGAGGAGTGGGCTGCCCGGAGGAAGAAGTCCGGGGAAGCCTCCTCCACGGCTGCGGTGGTGGCGATGGCAAGCGCCATGCATGCAAGGCTTCTTCGAAGAAAAAGAAGGTCGACCCCTCGCTGCACGCCGACGCCATGAAGACGGGCCATTGAACAAAGAAGTGCCCAAATCACAGGCAGAAGAAGGTTGATGCTCATCTGGCGTAGGCTGATGATGACGACGTTCTATGCCCTGCATGACATTGAGACCAAGGAGAAGAGAGAGGGGATGGTGGTGAAAGGGTCTAGGAAGGCTCAAGGGGCGTCAACCTCAACGACCCGTGGGCCCAAGTCCACCTCGGACGTGTTGACGGTGGATAGGAGCAGCGATGGTACACGGACTCCGCGCTAGCAACCACATGATAGGCTCCAAGGCAGCCTTCTCCGAGCTCGACGACGATGTGACCAACACGGTAAAGTTCATTGATGGCTCAAGGTATGGCGATCCAAGGGCGCGACACCATCATCTTCAAGTGCGAACGGCGAGCACCACGCCGCTAACGGATGTATATTACATCCCATACCAGATTTAAGCATCATCGATTAACCACCGGATGAGCGCCAAGAATGCGGTAATCTTGATCAAGGACGGCGTCCTTAGGATCGAGGACCGGCAAGCGGTACTTGCTTGCCAAGGTAAAGAGGTCCCGAAATTGGTTGTACCGCCGACCTCAAGGTGGAGCAACCCATCTGCTTGGTACGGCGCGCACGAAGGAGCCGTGGTACGTAACATGCCCGGTATGGACATCTCATTTCGGCGACGCTCTTGATCGGTGAAGAAGATGGTGGTCAGGCTGCCTCACATCGAGCACGCAGCGAACTGTGTGATAGCCGCCTAGCCGAGAAAGCAAAGAAGATTGTCGCTTCCGAAGACGACAAAGTACCTCCTGGCGAGACCCTCGAGCTGGTCCATGGTGACCTTTGCAGGACGATCACACCGACGACGCCTAGTGGGCGCAAGTACTTCATCTTGCTGGTGGATGACTGCAGCCGGTACATATGGTCTGCAGACTTTCCACCAAAGAAGACCGAGGCGACAAAGCGGTCAAGCGGTTCAAGACGCGTCGCGAGGCAAGAGAGCGGCAAGAAGCTACGTGTGCTGAGGACTGATCGTGGCGGCGAATTCACTTCGGTGGAGTTCGCTGCGTACTACGCGGATCAGGGTGTGGTTTGACACCACACCGCGCCGTACTCGTCACAGCATAATGGCGTGGTGGAGCGGCGGAACCAGACAGTTGTCGGCATGGCTCGATCCATGATAAAGGCCAAAGGAATGCCGACAAGGTTCTGGGGTGAGACGATGACCACGGCGGTGTTCATCCTCAACCGCGTGCTCACCAAGACTCTGAAAGGTAAGACGTCGTTCGAAGCTTGGTATGGACGCAAGCCGAGCGTGTCCTTCCTCCAGACATTCGGCTGCATCGGCCACGTCAGGAAGACGAAGCCGGTCCTCACCAAGCTAGAGGATAGGAGCACATCGATGGTGCTCCTGGGCTACGCGAAAGGTACCATGACGTACCGGCTCTACGACCCACACGGAGGCAAGCTGGTTGTCTCGCGCGACGTCGTTTTCGATGAGAAGGAGACCTAGGATTGGGACAGTCCAGGCACGGGGGAAGCTGACAGCTTCACCAGCACCTTCGTCGTCGAGCACTTGGTCATCCACAGTGGTGGAGACGCTGGAGTGAAGGTGTCGACCACTCCAGCAACAGAGCCGAACACTCCTAGGACGGTGCCGAGCACTCCAGGAGTGGCGCCGAGCGGTCCTGCGGTGGTGCCAACAACTCCAGGACGGGTGCCGAACGCTCCCGTAGCGGAGCCAAGAGGTCTTGTAGTGGTGCCAGCACTCCAAGATCTGTCTTCGAGACCCCTACCGTGGTGCCAACCACTCTAGGAGTGGTGACGAGCAGTCCAGGAGTAGTGCCGAACACTGTAGCTGGAGTGCCGAGCACTCCAGGTGCTATGCTGACCACTCCGGCGGAACAGGGGACTCCATCGACGTCGATCGAGTTCGCCTCACCTCCAAACGACATCACTAAGTTCGTGAATGCCTTCCACAATGGTGAGGTGCGGTTCCGCAGGCTGTACGACATCATCGACGACATAGGGTCCTTAGGTCTGCAAGCGGGTCGGTCCGCTCAATGACCCGAGAAGCTTCTCGTCGGTCGGAGGAAACCACCCACGTTCATGGCTGGGCGAAGCGCGATGCAAATTGGCGACGACGATCTTTGGAGGAAATGAAAGGCGATCGAGGAAAACAAGACTTAGGAGCTCGTCGTTCCGCCTCCGTGATGTCGTCCGTCGGACTAAAGTGGGTATACAAGGTCAAGCGAGACAATGCGCGCGCCATTGTCAAGCACAAAGGCGCGCCTACGTCGTGCGAGGCTTTGTCGGCGCAAAGGGGCATCGACTTCGAGGAAGTCTTTGCGCCGGTAGTGCGCACAGAATCTGTCCGACTGTTTCTGGCTTTGGTAGCAGCGAAGGACTATCGCGACCATCACACGGACGTAAAATTGGCATTCCTCAACGGCGAGCCAAGCGAGACGGTCTTCGTCGAGCAACCTCTCGGGTTTCATCATCAAGGGAGCAGAGCACAGGATACTCCAACTGCGCAAGGCACTCTACGGACTGCGACAGGCCCCACGAGCGTGGAACACCAAGCTTGATGCCACGCTGGGCGAGATTGGGTTCACGCGGTGCGCAACCGAGCACGTGCTCTACACGTGATGACAGGGAAAGGAGGCACTCACGCTCGGTCAGAGCGCGTACACCTCGAAGCTGTTGGAGCGGAGCGGCATGGCTGAGTGCAAGGCGTGCGTGACTCCGATGAAGGAAGCGCTGTAAAGTTGGCGTAGGCGATCACCGCGGCGAAGATAAATACAACACTCTACCGGAGCATCGTTGACGGTCTGCGCTACCTAGTCAACACGAGGCCGGACATTGCGTTCGCCATGGCCTATGTCAGCCGTTTTATGGAGGATTCCCAAGAGGATCACTGGGCTGCGGTAAAGCAGCTGTTGTGCTACGTCAAGGGAACGATGGATCAGGGGATCATCTTCCCCAAAACCAGTGAAAGTAGGCCGCAGCTCACTGTGTTCAACGATGCAGACATGGCGGGGGACATCGACGAATGACGGAGCACCTCTGGCGTGCTCGTCTTCCTCGGGCCGGCTCCAATCTCATGGTTGTCGCTGAAACAAAAGGTGGTGACGCTGTTCATGTGCAGCATGGCAGCCTGACATGTCTGTGCACTAGGATTAAATGGGTAGAGTTACATATATAGCTTCCCACTGCAACTCAGTAAAAAGAGCGAGTTCAATTTTGTCATCTCCTCTGCAGAGCTCCGGCCAACGCTGATGCTTGTGTTGTGTGTGTGCGCTCTGTTCTTCCTCCCTTCTTTTACCTCTAACCATAGTGTGTGGTCGGCAACGCCGGGGAGTGGTCGGCTCACCCGTTCCGAAGATCTAGGGGCCAACAAGCATCATATCAGACAAATGTGCATGTCTAATTTATGAATCCTTTCAGAGATAATGCTAACCATGTTGGTTGTTGATACTCTCATACAGATAGAATAAAGGAACTAAGGAAGCAACTCATGATGCTAGTTGTGTGCACTAGTTGCTGCCGTGATGCAATGCAAGTTCTTGTTGCACTCCTTATCCTGGCCCCATTTGGCTTGCTGAAACTTGGCTGAATTGGCTGAAAAACACTGTTCTGGCTGAATTGTTATGAGAGAAAAACATTGTTCCGGCTGAAAAAACAAGCTGAATAGTGCGGATTATAAGTTAAGTTCGAACGGGTCCCTGTCGGCATCAACAAAGTAATGCTGTACCGATTTGTTTGTGAACTAATCCACTTGTTTCCGCTAATTTGATGAAACAGTCCAATGAATGCAACAGGGACCGAGCGAAGTGGATGTACAACCGCCGCAGCCTAGTTCATCTAGGCATCTACTGATATGATAGGGCTGCAAGCTTCCAAAGAAGAACTAAATGTCAAAAACTGATCTATATAGTTTCTAGTGGTCGTATCAGTTCAAACGACGACAAGGTTTCTTCTAAGAAACCAAATCAGGACAACTTGATATGCTCCAACTTGGGACGCAATAGATAAGTCGGCTGAAGCGCTAAAGGAAATGATCACGCGTACAATTCAACGCGGTTAAACTAGCACTTGTGATAGTGTATCGCAATGAAGATCATATGTATACAGAAACCTTTGCATTCCAATTTACCAATAACAGAAACTGTACACTGACCTGGAAAAACACTTTACTGTAGTGTGGACCTGTGGCGGTCTTATGTTCCAGTTCCATCAAAGGATGATGGTAGGTCGGTCCCCAAAGCCGGCGCTGCAGTGCCACTCAGTAGCTCTTGAATCTCATTCACTTGTACCATCTGTGGTCCATAGCCAAATAAACTTGGCACCTGCAAGGATTTTGGGACCCTGAGATAAGCTTGGTGATTCAGAGGAACATGAAGGATTTGTGAAATTACGACAATAACCTGTGGCGGTGTTGACAGTGCATCATTATCATTAGGATGAAGGAAGGGATTTCTCAGCAGGGCCATGCGATTCCGTTGAGCTTGGTCTGTTACACTGGGTGCATTGGTAGGAGGGGGAGGGGGTAAGATCTGAGGCATCTGATTCGACAACGGGTTGTTCATGAAGGGTGGTGTTACCCTCTGCATCTGGCTCAGGAACTGCACAGCTGGTGGTGGCATCCACGCGGAATTCAAGCCCATGGTCATCGGAGGCATGAACTGGTGAGCACCCAGGATCATCATCGGCGCCATCCCAGTAGACATCCACATGATCTGAGGAATGGAAACATATCGGTATACATGCCGAGATGACGGAAGTGATCAGGAAGGTTACAATGCAGTATATATGCAGACCAGACCAATTGGGAAGTGTATTTTTCAGACCTGAACTTGCATTTGGAGGGACTTCAAGTACTCAATTGCCTCATCTAGTATCGACGCTTTGTCGGTCTGAGCAATCGTCGGAATCAGCACAGCACTACTGTTAGAACAGAATCAAATTGCACAAAAGCACCTTGTTGCAGTGCTAGAAACTGTTTCTTCACCTTGTTGCATTGAGGCACGAGTTCCTGCAGAGCTCGCATCTTTTCGTTGATTCGGTCCCTTCTCCTCTGCAGCATACATCAACCAAATCAAGAACACAACCATGGTATATAGCTGCAAATGGCGTGGCCAGGTGGAGGTCTCAAGACTTACCCGCTCCGACCTGTTGTGGACCTCGGCGGCGCGAGTCCTGCGCTTGTTGGACGCAGGCCGCCTCGACGACGGCGGGGTCTCGTCGACGGTGTCGAAGTCGGCGTCCTGCAAATGCGTTTCTTTTCTCTCACGAACTGAAGCGGAATTTTATGCAATCTGAACTGAACCCATTGGCAGGAGCAACAGAGAACGAGGAACACAACCTCGTCGAACTCGTCCCTGCTCCTCTTGGGCAGCGCATTGCTGTTCCGGCCGATGGACGTGGACGCGCCGGCGACGGCGCCCGCGGCCGCCCGGTCGTCCAGCTGCATCGGCAGCGCCACCGCGGCGACGCCGACGTCGTCGATGTCGTCGTCCAGGTGCAGCGCCGCGGCGACGAGGTTGCTGCCGCAGAAGCTGGAGCCGACCTCCCCGGCCGTCCGGCTGGACCCGGCGCCGCTGTTCCCGCTCTTGGCGGGCGGCCGGAGCCACGCCCACGCCCGAGGCGTCGGCGCCCACCATGCGGCCGTCGGCCTGCACGATGCTCTGCCAGAGCTGCGAGTACACGTCCCGCCCAGCGCCCCGCCGCTGCACGGGAGCCACGGCAGCGCGGGCGCCTGCTCCCCGGTGACGCCGCTGGCGCCTGTATTGCCGGCGCCGGCCTGGACCAGCGGGTGCCGGTGGTGGTGGTGGTGCGCCTGCGCCACGACTGCGCCGTCCTGCCACAGCAGCTCCACGAGCTCGCCGTCCGGGCTGCGGTTCGTTCCACGCGAACGGGGAGGTCAAGTCAGGGACTCGAACGGGGCGCGGATAACGAAACGCAAGAAAGCAAATGGGAACTCTGGTTACACGAAAGGGGCAGCCTTGTGGCTCGTCGCCGGTCTCTCGCCGCCGTCCATGGCGAGCAGACACTTCCTGGACCCGGAGGCGCCCAGATACCTGACGCACATACCGGATCCCCGTCAGTCAGTCACGAGATGGATGGATGGCACAGAAGAAGCAGCGGAGGAAGAGACAGATAAAACAACTACTACTACTAGTGTGATCAATCAACGAGGTGAGCTCTGACCTGCTTGCAACCTCTTGTATAGATGGATGGATGGAGCTCTGCTGCGCTGCAACTGCAACTTGTATGTCGTACGAATAATGGATAATACCAGCGGTGCTCCGATCGGAGGCGCCGGCGCCGCAAACTGAAACCCGTGGGTTGCTTCTGCTTGGATTGGAGAGAGGCGCAGCACAGTCTCTCGGAGCTCCAGCATTTGTATGGAAGGGAGGAGGAGTTGACATCGCTGTCGGGATCTTTGGGCCGGGACTCATCGCTCTCACTCGCCCCTCGGAATCGGCAACTTGGACGAAGATTTTACTCAGGCTGGTTTAGTTTCTTCCCTACGTGCATAGTGCATTAGATATACACTAAAAAAATAATTAATTATATAGTTTACAATCAATTTATGAGATAAATTTTTTAAGGCTAATTACAGCCCCCTGTTCGGCGGGTCGTAAATGATTGTGGATTATTTATTGCTGGCTGATTTAGTGTGAGAGAAAAATATTATTCCAGCTTATAATCCACGATCATGTACGAGCAAGGGAACAGACCGTTAGTCTATAATTTGAAATGTGATGCTACAGTAACACATGCGCTAATGATGGATTAATTATGCTTAATAAATTTGTCTCGCGGGTTTCTGACGGATTCTGTAATTTGTTTTTATTAGTATCCGAATATCTTATGCGACACCTTATATAATTTTCGATGTAACACCTTAAAATTTTACACCCTAGATTTAAACAAGACCTCACTTTCTCCTGTCCTCTATAGTGCAGCGCTGCTGCAGGAACAACAGCGCCATCACTCTGCCCTTGTCAGGCCTTGTTTAAATTCAGGTGTAAAGTTTTGGATGTTACATCGGGTGTTATATGGGATGTCTCATATGTTATTCGGATACTGATAAAAAAACAAACTACAGAATCCGTCACTAATCCACGAGACGAATTTATTAAGTCTAATTAATCCGTCATTAGCACACATGTACTGTAGCACTATGTTGTCAAATCATAGACTAATTATAAAAGATTTGTTTCGCAAATTAGTCGCAAACTGTGTAATTAGTTATTTTTTAGTCTATATTTAATATTCCATGCATGTGTTAACCATTTCATAGGATAGGGAGTAAACTTTAGGAGGGAAAAATTAAACAAGTCCTAAGCGAATTAATATCTGTTTCTGGATCAGGCTTGGATTCAATTTGATGTCAAATTTGAAAATCTGAACAAGTTGGAACTCGTACTACGAATTCGGAACAGCTTGGGACCAGGTTCGGACCGCGGTTGCCGGTTGGACGTTTTTCGCAGCGTTCGACCGTCCGTCGTGTACCGGCAACAGCGCAAGTGTGCCAACTGGACACCTACAATCGTACACACAGCTCTTTCACACGGTGTATGTAGCCAAATACTCCCACGTACTGTTGATTTCATTTCTTCCTTTTTCCTGTCGCTTTGCTAAAACTTTGCTGCAGCTTACTGAAATTTACGTGTCTATGATACTACTCCGTCCGTCCAAAAACAAATTCTCACTTCCTGAAATATCAAACAATTTCTTAGTTCAACCAAATTTATATGAAAAAAATTACATACCAAATACTCCCTCCGTCCTAAAAAATTGTTGTTTATGAAGAATCTGCACATGGGGGAGTAAATATTATTAGCTTAGTTATGAGCTATGTTTTCATAGTAAACTTATTTGAAGACATAAATGTTAATCTTTTTTTTCTACAAACTTGGCCAAACTTTAGAAAGTTCAACCTACCCAAAATCTAGAATTACATTCTTTGTTGGACATACGAGTAATTTAGGAACTCTTTCGGTGCTTGGGCGCGGCTTTTGGACAATAAGTAACATAAATATTTTTTTAAAAAAAACTACACGTAAAAGTGATTGTAACTCGTGTATAAGTTAGTTGTAATCTATTAACTTAGTATTTGATCTACAAAAGAAGCCTCCATATCAATTCTCAAGCATATAAAATATCATGTTACTCAGGGAAAAAATAAAGTACCCGACTGTTGCCATTATATAGAGATTAATCCGTACCCTTTATGCCTGATAGTGTTAAAGATACTTTGACATTACCTAAGCCATAATAATATAAAAATATTTGTATCTATTTCTCTATTTCGACCCATGCCATGTGAAAGAAAAGTAAAGAAAATGAACTCAACTTTCTTTGTTGTATACCCTCATGCACGTAAGAGGTCAAAATTGACTTGGTTTGATAAACAAAAGATAGCTTCGTGATGTTGGCAAGTGATTGATCTTTACCATACATTAGAATCAAAGAAGATCTAAAGTTGCATATCAAAATATCTTGATGTCAAATATAATGAAAAGGGATAGGTTTATTTTTTTCATTAACTATTGCCCAAGTTTGTTTTTTTGTCATTTAACTCTAAAACCAAAAAACATTTGACCACTGGACTATCAATACTGGAGTACTGGACAAACTTAGCCTTCTAGATGGTTTCAAATTTGGTTATATATTTTTCTAAAAATAATAAAACTAGGTTATTTTTTAAAAATAACTAATTAATTTTGATTCTTTTCTATTTATTATTCCTATTCCTTGTTTGTTATTGCTAATAATCATGTTTGTTACTTATTTCAATCATTATTTTTGCACTATATTATATTGGAGATTGACAAGAAGAATCTACAACAGACTACGAGTAAACATAAGATAAGGGAATAGACACCAATCTTGTAGGTGACATGCTCCACTACATATAGATCATATTTAACCATTACAGCTACTATGGCATCATTAGCACTCCAAAATTATTTGGAAAATTTAACTCTTACATATCCTGTACTCTAATTTCAGTATGTATTCTCTTGGTCAATCTCTAGGTTGGATATAGCAAAAAATTGTTATTTTGAATGATAGGCATGACTAAGCGCAATAAAACACTATGCACAACTACAATTCTAGAAATAAGTTTCAAATAACTCCATCCAGCGCCAACCAATAAACTATATTATAAGAAAAGATTGGTTCTGGTTTCATATTTTTTCTTTAAAATGAATTAGTTATATATGAATTTTTAGAAAACCAATCAGTTTTTGTTATTTTTTGGAAAAATACAAAACCACCTTTGTGCTTGATGATCCCGCTTGTTTGGTATTGGTAGTTCAGTGGTAAGAAGAAATTCGAAATTTAGAGCTATATATGGTAAAAAGTCAGACTCGAAAAACAGTTGAAAAGTTAAAATGAACTTCTCCCGGTATAAAAAAAAGGCATAGGTGACTGTGAAAGTTGAAATAATTAAAGGAAATAAAAGATACTAACTGATACTGACACATGAGAACGGTCAATCTTTCCGTCCATATATATGGAAAATACAAACGCTCGCTCAGTGAACAAATGATGTGCACCTTCTGTCCCAAATTATATGTCGCTTGGCTTTTCTAGATATATAACATTTACTATGTATATAGATATACGATATATCTAAATATAATAACAACAACAAAACCTGTCAGCCCCAAACAAGTTAAGGGTAGACATACGATATATTTAAATACATAATAAAATTTATATATCTAGAAATGTCAAAACTATCGATGAATTGGAACGGAAGGAGTACGTGTAGAACCAAAACCTTGCGGATGAGTCCTTAGTAATTAGCATGATGCGCACAGTAGAAAAAAGCGAACAAGGGATACTGATACTGTGCTCCCACCGTCAGCTACCCCTGCTTCCCATGGCTGCTGACCTGCAGGAGTATCTGCGGCGGCGTGCACCGGCACCGACGCGGCCTTTGTCCGGGCCCTGACCGAAGCTGATGACCAAGATCAATATGGGAGGGCGACGGAGGGCTTGTTTACTTCGAAGTTTACTTTCGGTCTCATCGAATATTATATATATATATATATATATATATATATATATATATATAACTACTGTTTTTCAGTAGCTGTTTATAAAATAATTTATTACGTGGGCCACTTTGAGTTACGATAATTACTAAGCTAATTTATAAGATTACGATAACTCCTTATTAAGTGATTTACTATAACGTTATGGTAAATATCATCGTGTGTTATAGTAACACAACTATAAATAAATATGTATTCACTTTATGATAAATTAGTATATAAAATTATCGTAAGTGGAGGTGGCTACAGAATAACTTATTCTATGGCCAAATTGCAAAATAGCCTAACCATATATATATATATATATATATATATATATATATATATATATATATATATATATAGTATTAAATATAAATTAAAAAAATAATTAATTACACAGTTTGTGAATAATTTACGAGATGAATCTTTTAAGCCTAATTAGTCCATGATTTTGATAATGTGGTGTCAAGATGACGCATGTGTTAATGATGGATTAATTAGTCTTAATAAATTGCCTCGTGGATTATCGACGGATTCTGTAATTTATTTTTTATTAATATCGAACACCTCCTATAACACTTTATATGACACCTCATTCATATGACACCTAAGTTTTGAGGTGTCACATCAGATATCATATGAAGTGTTTATAGGAGGTGTGATTCTGAGAAAATAGACTCTATATCATACTCCCTACTTACAAACAACCAAATTGAAATAATGTAGTTTAATCAATTATTACTTTTAATCCAAAATAGAAAAAAAACAATTGTACCCCAGGATACCACGTCACACCAAGACATGACACATCATCTTCTGTTTAGGGCCTATATGAATGCCCTTGAGATTTTGAAAATCATATTAAAAAAATCTATGAAATGGCCACCGATAGAGTTTATGGAAGCGGATGGTAATAATCTTATACGTGGATTCTTGCAATCTCTAAATCCGTCGGCCTAGCTTATTCTTCAGGATCCTTCCTCTGCGTTAAAAGATAAACATGCCCTTACTTATTCCCTTCCTCAAAAGAGAAGGACAAGCTCCTCTCACCCCATCACGGCTGCTTGCTTGCCCACTCCCACCCCTATCGCCCTCTCACCGTTGCTACCACCCCTCACGTAAGTTCACATCTTCCATCCGCCACTGCGTCTGCCATCACGCAGTAGAGCTGTGACCCTATAGGCTATACCTCCAAGAATCCCCTTGCGCTTGAGGAAATTCATACGGGTGTCGAGGCTGTTTGGTTGGCCGCCTCAGCTAGCCAAAGACACGGATGCAGCGCACCACAAGTTTTCTGCGCGCTGTTTTTTTTAACATGCATTGTTTGGTTGAGAATACAACTTACACAACCACATGTGATGCAGAGCTTTTGCTCTCTGTAATATCGCCACACTCTGCGGCGAGCAATTCCTACGCCACGCTCCGTGGCGAGCCACGGTCTGCCGCACATGTGGCGATCGATGGCTGGCATCCAAACCTCCCTTGTCATCTCTTGTGTTTTCATAGGCTTTGAAATATCTAGGTAGTCTGGCAATAATATAAAAATCCTATGGCGTGTTTGGTACCCTTCCAGCCCAGCCAGCCCAGTTCGAACAGCCAGTTGTATTTGTTTAGGCCAGGATGCATGCAACAAGGGTTGTTTGGTTGCATGCATCTATGAAACCAGTTTGGGCTAAGACGATGTTTTGGTTGTATGCATGTGTTTGATTTAAAAAGCTCATGTATGGATCATTGTTTGGTTGGCTGCATACAACAAGTTCTAGTCATCTCTTTCATGTAGTGGTAACATTACCACCCACTAGTTGACATCCGATATTACATCAATTTCCAAATAAAAAAACCTACTAGCAAGGCAATAACTACTGCTATTACAAGTATACATGAACTGTGGCACAAGCGAAAGTTGCCATTTCCATCATTTTCTAGTAGAGGTGCACTGACAGGTTGGAGGAGAGGTGGATTTTTAGGTTGATCACCATAGAAAGCTAGCAAAGCTTCATTTCTTGTTTCATATTTTTTGTAGCAGTTTCCCTTGAAACCATCTACTTGAGCATGCGCTTCGGCCCAGCTGGAGTAGACCCCAGGCTCCTTCCCAACATGAACAACATACCAAGCCATAGCTGAACATGTTCTCAGATCAATCAAAAAAACATCACAGGCAATGGACATGTGCTCAGATTAATCAAAATAACATCAAAGGCAATGGGCATGTGCTCAGATCAATCAAAAAACATCACAGGCAATGAACATGTGCTCAGATCAATCCAAAAACATCACAGGCAATGGACAAGTGCTCGGTTCACCATAAAAAGCATCACGAGGCAATGGACATGTGCTCAGGATATAAGAAAACAAACATCACGGGCAATAAGGCAAGTGCTCGAATGAAATTGTGCAAATCACGAGCGCTGGTGGTGCCCATATCAAGTTCACAACCACAAGGTTCACATCATTGGCAATGGACTCATGGTCAGATTGCCACCACTAGGTTGATCTAGGTTGTAGGTGCAGAGTTATCTAAGACACTAACTATATGTTAGTGTTAGTAAGTAAGCTATGTAGGATCAGATCAACTGCACAAAAGATAAGGTCAACCCACTACACATCCACCAGCTGTAGTTAGGTATGCACAAAAGAGGCCACCACTGCACAGGGATAGGCCACCACCCACTACACAGTCCTCTGCAACCACATTGTCACCAGCCAAAAGACCACCATCCAGTCCAGGGAACACAAGCTCATCAGCAGGCATCATCTCCTCAGCCATAGTCTAATTCATCATTGCACATGCCCAGAGCCTCAGCACAGGTGTATTATATCAAGAAAAAAACAACATTGCACATGCCCAAAGCCTCAGCATAAGTGTAGTATCACAGAAAATTTATCATCATTGCACATGCCCAAAGCCTCAGCATAAGTGTAGTATCACAGAAAATTTATCATCATTGCACATGCTCAAAATCTCAGATCAAGTGTAGTATCACAGAAAAAACATCATTGCTATTGCCCAAAGTCTCAGATCAAGTGAAGAATCACAGGAAAAAGGGTGCCCTTCTCATTCTAAGCATGTTCACACACTATATCATTGTAGTTGTAAATTAAGTTCAAGTTCCTTTGGCGCTCCTCATCCCTAATGCTCATTGGACCATAACTGATCTAAGGCCGCTGACTCTGAAGCATTCTAAGTCTAGCAAACAGCAGGGCATACATAGCAGTGATAAGAGCAGCATCACGAGCAAAAAGAATGCGTCTCTTCTCTTCCAAGTCCATCTAGAAAAAATGAATGGAATTTAAGGACAAATGCTCAGAATGACAATGTCATCATCATGGACTTGGACAAAAGCTCGAAAAAAAGATTCATCATATACTAGAACATGCTAAAAATAAGACTTTCATCATCACAAACTA